ATGTTGAATTTCATTTAAATGACACAAATTTAACATGGTAATAACAAAAATATTGGATGTGACTGAAAGACCTCCTCGAAGCTACCAGTGGCGCCTAAGCTTCTTGTTTTAGTTTCTGTTCCTCCAACGAAATCTCCTTACGGTAAGAAGCCTCTGGGTCATCCTAAGGCTGTGTTTACATGAAGCGTTTCAACCCGGGTTGAGTTCGACCCGGGTCAGATTTCAACCCCCCATGTGCACAAAGTGAATGTCGCGTTTACATGACGCATTGCGCTTGACCCGGGTTGAAATTTCGCCCCGGGTTGATTTCAACCCTCCCCCCAAGGGGAGGGTTGAACTCAACCCGGGTCAAGAAAATCGTACAAACGTACTTCTGTGCGTATCTCGCGCCAGGTTTGAACAGCACTTGCACTGCAGATGCAAATTTCGCGCGAACGGATTCACGTGACCATACAGGACTGTTGAAGTGGACTTTTGGCGGCATATCAGTATTTGACCTGGGTCAACTGTCTTCATGTAAACGCTCACCTCTTTTGTTTGTCGTACAGACTTTCAACCCGGGCTGTACTCGACCCGGGTTGAAATTTCTCATGTAAACACAGCCTTATAAAGTTGTTATCATTATTATCAAGACATGAAGCCCCAAGTAGTGAATTTCATTGACACGACCTTTGCCCTGTTTTCATATTACGTTCAGCGTGTTCGGTCATGGAGCTTCTCTGCATATTGCAGATAAATGCACGAGAATTGATAATTCGCATTCTACCAATCTCATTGTTCCATAATCATTACTAATACATGCTGCAATTATTATATTGCAATAGTACCGACTACTTACTTGAACACGAAAGACTCGGATGGGTGACGATCACAAAAGAACCAGTCTTGATGATCGAGAAGAGGTAGTGAACTGGAACAAACAAGCAGCGCAATAACTTGCACTAGAGTTGGGGAACAATGGCAACGCAAGCTTACTCGACAGGCTTGTGGACAACAAAAATGTGCTTTAAATGCAGCACACTTCTTGAAATGCGCTACTGTACCAGCCGGGGTGCACAAGGTTGTGATTACATGAGGCGTTTCAACCCGGGTTGATTTCGGCCCGGGTCAGATTTCAACCCGCCGTATGCACAAAATGAATGGCGCGTTTACATGACGCATTGCGCTTGACCCGGGTTGAAATTTCGCCCCGGAATTCGTACAAACGTACTTCTGTACAATCGTACAAACGTACTTCTGTGGGTATTTCGCGAAAGGTTTGAACAGCACTGCAGATGCAAATTTCGCGCGAACGGATTCAAGTGACTATACAGGACTGTAGAAGTGGACTTTTGGCGGCATATCAGTATTTGACGCGGGTCAACTGTCTTCATGTTAACGCTCACCGCTTTTGTTTGTCGTACAGACTTTCAACCCGGGCTGAACTCGACCCGGGTTGAAATTTCTCATGTAAACACAGCCTCAGGCTGTGTTTACATGAAGCGTTTCAACCCGGGTTGAGTTCGACCCAGGTCAGATTTCAACCCGCCATGTGCACAAAGTGAATGGCGCGTTTACATGACGCATTGCGCTTGACCCGGGTTGATTTTAACCCTCCCCCAGGGGAGGGTTGAAATAAAAAAAAATAAAAAAAGAGGAGGGTTGAAATCAACCCGGGTCAAAAAATCGTACAAACGTACTTCTGTGCGTATCTCGCGCTAGATTTGAATAGCACTGCAGATGCAAATTTCGCGCGAACGGATTCACGTGACTATACAGTGGCGGTTGCTGAGGCGGGCATTCGCATTTGACACCATTTGCCTCTGGTTTTGTCTGTGTTGGCTTCGTCTGTGCTCTTTTCATCCTACTACTAGTAGTTTTCAGTCCGCTATTGGGCGGCTGCACTCCAAAAAAAATACAGGACTGTAGAAGTGGACTTTTGGCGGCATATCAGTATTTGACCCGGGTCAACTGTCTTCATGTAAACGCTCACCTCTTTTGTTTGTCGTACAGACTTTCAACCTGGGCTGAACTCGACCCGGGTTGAAATTTCTCATGTAAACACAGCCTCAGAGTTTCATGGCAAAAACCCATCAAACATCAACTCATGATCATGATTGCAGCCGATTGTTGCCAAAACTTGGAATTTTCCGACATTATCCACTACCGAACTCGTTATGCCGAACTCGTTATGCCGCTCAAACCTGACATAATGCTCGCTTTGTTCTTTTCTAATGCTCCATAATGCTCTCGTGCTCGGATAGTCGTTTAATGCTGAATATAATGCCTGCATTATCCGCTGGACCCTATTTGTAAGCTGGTTGGCTTTAGTAGTATGCTACATCTTATAATAGCCTGCGATTGAAATTGATTGTGTTCTTATTTTGCAAGCAACCAGGGCCTTTGAAACAACCGTTAATAGAAGCCAATTTTGTCCATGCAATGACCACCAGTCCCGTTATATGGTAGGTATGTTGAATTTACACAAATTTAACATGATAATAACAAAAATATTGGATGTGACTGAAAGACCTCCTCGAAGCTACCAGTGGCGCCTAAGCTTCTTGCCTTGGTTTCTGTTCCTCCAACGAAATCTCTTTACGATAAGAAGCCTCTGGGTCATCCTTAAAAATTTGTTATCCTTATTATCAAGACATGAAACCCCAAGTAGTGAATTACATGGACACGACCTTTGCCCTGTTTTCATATTACGTTCAGCGTGTTCGGTCATGGAGCTTCTCTGCATATTGCTGATAAATGCACGAGAATTGATTATTCTCATTCTACCAATCTCATTGTTCCATAATCATTACTACTACATGCTGCAATAATTATATTGCATTAGTACTGACTACTTACTTGAACACGAAAGACTCGGATGGGTGACGATCACAAAAGAACCAGTCTTGATGATCGAGAAGAGGTAGTGAACTGGAACAAACAAGCAGCGCAATAACTTGCACTAGAGGGAGGTTTCGCTCTACGGAATTACGTATGAAAATAACGTATGAACTGCACGGAATCTTCATACGTAAAAATCAGAGCTGTTGGGTTTCGCTCTACGTGATTTCTCCACGACTGCTAAACATGCGTTGTTGCTTTGAAGACGCGTTGGCTGCATGCGCCCACCGTATGCACCATGAACCGAAACCGCGTTTTCCATGATATTATGCACGTGGTGTACGGTGTGTGTACCTTGTGTTTCGCGCGGCTTTAATGTTGCCATGGACAAATGCGGAAAATGCGAAAAAATATTTCAAAAAGTCCTACGGAGGACCCAACGTAGGAAAGAGCTTTCCTACGGAAATCCGTAGAGAGATTTACGTATGAAAGTTGCCCTCGCTCCCCGGCGCGTACGACATACGGATTTTCATACGTAATTACGTAGAGCGAAACCTCCCTAGTAGCTGATTTGGGAATGAACTATTCTGGTTATTTCTCACGTAAAGGGGCTGTGTAATAATTATACTCTGTAGTTTATTTATTAATAACCTACGTGGAGATAATAATTTTAATATAGCTATGAATAGGATGAAGGCCACAGACATCATTCAACTACGTTACTTGTTTGACATGTATTACTACGAAGTAGTGGTTGCGACTTCGGCGATGATTTGTAAGAAAGGTTTGCTCCCCACACCGGAGCTCGCGCTATTCCACCGACTTTACTTGACACTTGACTGACTCACGACTGCCATCCAGAGCCCAGCGCGGGCTTGCGACTAGTTGGTTTGGAGGTGACAGCGTTGCGAATGACCGAGGGTCTTCGACGTCCTCGACGTCTGTCTCACCGTCCAGGAGCGACACTGACTCACGCTACTATCTGGTGTTCACGAGGTGTTTGTCGCGCTGGAAGCGGAGCGTCTCTGTAAGTTTGTATCCCTGGTGATGTTTGTGCCTGGAGAGCACTATATAAGTGGTGCTCTTCAGGCACAATCTTCCTCAGCCTACTCAAGCTCAACTGATGAGGGGTGAATTCCCCGAAACACTGTGTATTGAGCAGGGAGTGGTGCTTTCTTGCAGGTTTGCCGAGTCGAAGGTTCGATGGACTTCTCGTGTGCTCTGGATGGCAGTCGTGAGTCAGTCAAGTGTCAAGTAAAGTCGGCGGAATAGCGCGAGCTCCGGTGTGGGGAGCAAACCTTTCTTACAAATCATCGCCGAAGTCGCAACCACTACTTCGTACTGTTGTGCCCAGCGCGGGCTTGCGACTAGTTGGTTTGGAGGTGAGAGCGTTGCGAATGACCGAGGGTCCTCGACGTCTGTCTCACCGTCCAGGAGCGACACTGACTCACGCTACTATCTGGTGTTCACGAGGTGTTTGTCGCGCTGGAAGCGGAGCGTCTCTGTAAGTTTGTATCCCTGGTGATGTTTGTGCCTGGAGAGCACTATATAAGTGGTGCTCTTCCGGCACAATCTTCCTCAGCCTACTCAAGCTCAACTGATGAGGGGTGAATTCCCCGAAACACTGTGTATTGAGCAGGGAGTGGTGCTTTCTTGCAGGTTTGCCGAGTCGAAGGTTCGATGGACTTCTCGTGTGCTCTGGATGGCAGTCGTGAGTCAGTCAAGTGTCAAGTAAAGTCGGCGGAATAGCGCGAGCTCCGGTGTGGGGAGCAAACCTTTCTTACAAATCATCGCCGAAGTCGCAACCACTACTTCGTACTGTTGTGCCCAGCGCGGGCTTGCGACTACTGTAATTATACAAATTTTCGGCAGCAATTTAATTTCGGCTATATTCGGCACCGACCCAAAACGCCTAAATTAAAACGCCGATGAAATTTTTCACAGCATCTGTCGCACTATCATGCCCTCTACCCCACGCCGAAAATAAATCGCCGCCGAAATGTCAAAAATCGTGAAGTGCCGAAATTTTGCAGCGCCGAAATTTTGTATTTAGAAAAGCGATCCTGTCAGCTTTTCTATTATTGTGTTCACATGGCGCTACCTAACGACACCGCTATTCAGACACGTTGTCTACGTAGCTACGTAAGTTTCTACGTAAGATGCCCGGTACCTGGTCCTGCAGGGAGGCCGGAGCTACTCCATGGCTCCTACCATCGCGCGGCCGGATGGCCGCATGCGTGTGCATTGCAGACTTTTTGTTGTTGCCTTTTCGGATGTGCATGCACGAGGAACTTCCTTCTTTGGAACTGCTTCTTGCATGAGCTGTTTCGGATATTTCGTCTCCTGGCCTGGCTTATTTCGTTTCGGTGCTGCTGAGACCTCCTTTCGCGGAATATTACTCAATGACAGGTGAGTTGACCAGTTCCCTTTGATTCATTTGCTTGTGTTGACTTTTTCATTTACGAAAAGTGTGCTGATTTTGGGCGGAATGCAATAAATAATGGAAAAGCTGACAGGATCTCCTTTCTAAATTTAGCTTTTCCGCTGCCGAGGCCTCCTTTTACGGAATACTCAATGACAGGCGATCTCTGAGTTGACCAGTTTCCTTCGATTCATTTGCTTATGCTCACCCTTTCATTTACGGAAACGTGTGCTGATTTTATTCGGATTTAGATCCATTTTTATCTCTTTGCCCTTGCCTACAGTGTGCGAAGAACGCGAGTTCCCCTTCTCGACGGTAAGGCTTATGTTAGATGTGTTGTCAAAATACTCATATTCATTGCAAGTAAGGCACTGGTCAGTGGCATACTATCGTTGGCAGTTCCCAATCTGGAGGGAAAGGTTCAAGGACTCATTGACCGAGTTTGCCAAATAAATTCGCATATCAGGGAAAATCTCCATTGTGGAGAGGTTCAGTAACTTGTTTGCTTCATACGAAACAAGCCAATGGGTGCAGTGTCGTCTCGTGAAAATCTCGTACTTGTATGATTGCATTTGTTTACTCGAGTCTGGGCTGTTTGAGTGAGTACTGCCGAGATGGCACTGCCCCAAATAAAGTTTCGTGCCGCCAAAGCAAGAATTACGATCTGCAATCTGTTTGTAGTACCAAGAGTACATAACCCCCCGTACTCTTGGTAGTACTTGCAAGAATGTGCAGTACATGTATCGTACTTTCTCTGTTGCTGTTTCAGTTGCCGTCATGTTGCTAAAGAAAGGTTCACTGGAGAGGTTCTGCAAAACAAAAAATTCGAACGAAGTTTCGCGACAGTCCTTGCAAAAGTGTGTACGAATTTTTGCACGAACTTTGCGTTCTGCACATTTTCGTAGTTTGCGCGGGCCAAGTGCACGTACGCCATGACCCGATCTCACGAAATTTCCTACAACAGTTCATTTCGCGTTCCCTGCAAGTTTCGCGTCCAAAGTTGCGAAGTTTCGCACTTCATGATGTAGAGCGAAAGTTTGTACGCATTTTCGTTTTGCAGAACCTCTCTAGTGACTCTTTTGTTTCATACGAGATGAGTCGGTGTGGCTTAGAATCTTTCGCTGTAGAAGAAATCTATTCGTATGTCTATTGGAGAAATAATTGTATTCACTGGTTATACATGTATTATAAAATAGGTTAAGACAAACTCACAGAATAAATACCATCGGTCCCTTGGTGTTCGTCCTAAAGAGGTTCGACTGGATATCATTCATACTCACCAAAAGATGTGTAAGATTTTATTATCATGGAGTGCCTTGTTTATCTCTCAGTATCAGTACCTCCAACCATAGCCTTGACCTTTTTATCCTCAGGATCAGTGTAGTTGTTAGAACGAGGTGTCGGACTCAGCAATGTATTGTTTACATTTTAATACATGTTTATTGTTCCTCCTTTGCTGTGTTTTAGAAAATCGTGGACTAACAGTTTGAAGTCATTGAACTACTTCCAAGAGTTGTATCGACATCAACAGGATTACGATTTCAGTGCAATATGATGCAGGATGACCTTATCACGATAACCCATGATTATAAACCATTATAAACACAGAATCAACAAAAACATCTGCGACACGCACCTGGCGCATGGCTACATTTCTTCTATATAAATCTGATCGAGGGTGGGGAAATCTGAAATATCTGAAAGGCAAGACAAATTTATGGCAGAGTCATGAAATTCTGCAACAGCAACATGCACAGAATGACCCCCGTATAAAAAAAGTATCGCCACCTGACTACTCACATGTTTCCCCGCAGAAGAACATGCATTATGCTAGTGCCATTTTCTGCAAAAAAAGGCTTGCACATCAATGCGTATAATCAAGAGTACATAACCCCCATTATGTACTCTTGGTATACCTCTTGATATGATGTGAAAGCCATCATTTACATATTCATATAGGGCATTCCATTGATTGGCATTGATTGGTGACAGAAAAAATAAAAGAAATTATAGCAATAAAAACTGCTTTATGGCAGTTTTCTAAAAAAAGTTATTGTGTTCTAGTCCATGGAGCCCGTCTAAAAAGTAAGAAATTAACGAAATGTGATAGCTGAAAATTAAAATTTCACACAAAACCTCACAATAATCACACACAGAATTAAAAGCTACATGTAGAAGACCTTTTCCCCTCGTGATCTTCTTTCTTATGCATGCATGTTGCCAATTGTTGGTGCAGTACAAGTTAAAGTTGAAAGCAGCATTTCAAGTGTTGTGATTATTGTGAGGTTTTGTGTGAAATTTTAATTTTCAGCTATCACATTTCGTTAATTTCTTACTTTTTAGACGGGCTCCATGGACTAGAACACAATAACTTTTTTTAGAAAACTGCCATAAAGCAGTTTTTATTGCTATAATATTTACAGTAGTTGGTTTGGAGGTGACAGCGTTGCGAATGACCGAGGGTCCTCGACGTCTGTCTCACCGTCCAGGAGCGACACTGACTCACGCTACTATATGGTGTTCACGAGGTGTTTGTCGCGCTGGAAGCGGAGCGTCTCTGTAAGTTTGTATCCCTGGTGATGTTTGTGCCTGGAGAGCACTATATAAGTGGTGCTCTTCAGGCACAATCTTCCTCAGCCTACTCAAGCTCAACTGATGAGGGGTGAATTCCCCGAAACACTGTGTATTGAGCAGGGAGTGGTGCTTTCTTGCAGGTTTGCCGAGTCGAAGGTTCGATGGACTTCTCGTGTGCTCTGGATGGCAGTCGTGAGTCAGTCAAGTGTCAAGTAAAGTCGGCGGAATAGCGCGAGCTCCGGTGTGGGGAGCAAACCTTTCTTACATGTATTACTGTGTACTTTATAACGAAACTATTATTGAAAACCCAGAATCGATTTTCTCGTTCCTATCATCAGTGGGAAAAAAACGGAACTAAGGATACAACCAAAGAAACTAAAGTTAAGTACTGTAAATAGAAAGTTGTATCCTTAGTTCCGTTTTTTCCCACTGATGATGGGAACGAGAAAATCGATTCTGGGTTTTCAATAATATTTTTGTTATAAAATACACAGTAATACATGTCAAACAAGTAACGTTGTTGAATGATGTCTGCGGCCTTCATCCTATTCATAGCTATATTAGATTATTTATCGAAAATATTCTAGACTTTAGTGCTTTTCGCAACTTTTCCCTAGTGTTCAGGGAACGGTATGAACCAGGGAGTAGTGTAGTATCCATGTTACAGTAGAACAACACCTGGGTTATCCTCGCCCCCCCCCTTCCCCCACACCTCCTCCAAACTATGGTTGAATACGAAATGGACTGCTATGCAGCAAAGAACCTCACTGGGCACATATCTGGAAAGAGCATTGTTTTCCACATTTTGAAAATTGTATCTGTGCAATCCATGTCCGGAGTACGCAGATGCGCACGGTAGAACGTTTCTCTTTGGCAACGGAGTCCATTTCCTGTTCAAGGAAGTGGGGGGGGGGGGGTAGCAGGAGAAAGAAATTGGCGGGTTATAGAGCAGGTTAGTAGCCACTACAAAATTATAAGCACTGCAACCAAGGCTGTATGCGAAATTTCAACCCGGGTCGAGTTCAGCCCGGGTTGAAAGTCTGTACGACAGACAAAAGAGGTGAGCGTTTACATGAAGACAGTTGACCCGGGTCAATAACTGATATGCCACCGAAAGTCCACTTTCACAGTCCTGTATGGTCACGTGAATCCGTTCGCGCGAAATTTGCATCTGCAGTGCTGTTTAAACCTGGCGCGAGATACGCACAGAAGTACGTTTGTACGATTTTCTTGACCCGGGTCAAGCGCAATGCGTCATGTAAACGCGCCATTCATTTTGTGCACATGGCGGGTTGAAATCTGACCCGAGTCGAACTCAATCCGGGTTGAAACGCCTCATGTTAACACAGCCCAAGTCAGTTATGGACTCTTGCTGCAACTATTTTTTTGGATATAGCATTGCCGTACCGTACCGTGACTCCTGAGATAAAACGATTTGTCCATATTATGGTCAATAGCTGACCACTCTCTCTCTCCTTATTTCATATCACTTCAGAGAACAGCAAGTGGAGATTACAGTCCCTTTGGAAATGCCGTGTGACAGGATCATGAAGAGGCCTCGTAACGCCATGATGTTGATCGCGATTTTCTTATATAGTCTTCTTGCCCAGAGTAGTGCTATTGGACAAGGTCTGTACAGCACGTTTCGAGACATTCCTGTAGACCCGGAATTAACTATAGATTTTATCCCAGGTCCTAGTACTCCTCAAGTTCCGACTCTTCCAGCCACAGCTGGCGATGTCGACCCGGATCTCGTGCCCAGTATTGTACGTAACGTGACTGATCAACTGCAAGGAAATGTACAGCAACAAGGTACACAACTGCAAGCGTTTGGTCTGGCTGGTTGCAAGACAATTACAGGTATTCATGTCTTACGACCCCATGCCCCGTCATTGGTCACAGACAAAGTGACTGTCGTTGACATTAGCCGTCGAATCATCAAGACAGGCACTGCAATCAAAACACTGTTGCTGTCAGTCCCGGTTAATTTTTGGTTTCAAGGTAGGGACACTTGTGCTGAGTATTATTGCAAGTTGAACCCGAAGCAGACGGCGGAATTCTCCATCACATTGGACGTAGTGACTTCCAATGGCTCTATCTACTTCAAACAACTTACGTATACGTTCAGTTACTGCGGCATTGTCAGCAATCCACATACAGGGTCCAACAACAACGCTCCAGGTGCTGTCTTTAGTGAGTCATTTATCTTCAATGTTTCCTCAGTTCTTAGCACTTTGAATAGAACATCATCTGTAAACACAAGTTTCGTTGTCAAGGTTGACCCTAGCGTCGGAACCATTCTAAAATCACCGAGATTGTTGGCTCGTGTTGTCGCCGACTCATCTGTCGGGTCCCTAGGTCATATATATGTGCGAGGTGAAGAGAACACCGGTGACTTATCCTGTTTTGAAGGGACAGTCGAACAACAGAGAAAGTATGCTAGATACCCAACCAGTGGTTCAGCCGCTATCAACAGAGCAGCTCAGCTTGGACTGAACATCAGCGATTTGATTGTCAGCGATCCAGCCAATTCGTCTGTACCAGAAGAAACGGCGACGCCCGCGTGTTTGCCGCTGTGCTCGCGCAGAGTGCAGAGGGTCAATATTGAAGGTTATGTTGCCCAATTTATCTCGAAGAGTTATCACTTGGAGGCAGCCGCACTTGACCTTGATGTTGGTTTGTGCTCCGGTCTTTGCTCGCGGCTCGACAAACCTAGCACTTGCCCTCTAGCAGCTGGTTTGCCACGAGAGAAGTATGTATACGAGAGGACCCGTGAAACACTAGTGCTAAGACAGCAGCCCCAGGACGTCTTGAGTATTCTTAAGGGTATCTCGCCACAGTGTGTACGCGCTACCACGGACAAGATTCTGGATAGATGGATTCAGTACTCCATGTTTACTCCAAATAATCAGCCTAGTGTCTATCAGTCTTACTACGTAGAGAGTGGTGTCGTGCTCGTTAAACATCTAATTCTTCCCCCCAAGGGTGGTTGCAGGTGCCTGTAATGTAACCTATTGGTGCCATTTCCTTTTATCTAGTCTCCTGTTTCTCTTATAGACTTTTACTTGGATCATTGTGTAATGTTTTTGTTATATGACCATTGCCTGCCATGCCTTGCTTCTTGATCGTTGATCTTTATCCTATACCATTCTCCGATATTTCACATTTGCTACTGTAACCGCATAAAATGAAGTCTTGCATTTGCTTTAGATTCAAGCCTTCGTGGCATGTCAATTTAGCTGGTTCCCTCTATTGTTATTTTCAAGTTCATCTCCTTCTTTTCATTATGAAAAAATCTTGTGCAACATTCTTGCTGATTGCGATGATGAGTGCTATAACTTTGTCGGCATTCCAAGCCGTGCTTAAAAGAGGGACGTGTTTGGCTTAAATGTGTTCGCCAATAAACATTTAGGGGAGAAGGAGATACAGACAGACTACAGGACTTCCCAGCGCAGCAAAAACACTTACTTATAAACTTTCAAGCTCGGATGTTGAGCCATAAATAATGTAGAAAGGAAAACGACATCATGGATACGAGTTAAGAGCAACCCTCCATTGTCAGCACGTCGAATGTCTCAGTGCTCTGTCAGTTTTGTGCCTAGTTATTGCACTTTCTGACTGTATAAAGTATCATGACTGTTACAGTAAAGAAGACTTACTCTTAACTCGTATCCATAATGTCTTTTTTCTTTCTACATTTTAAACAATATTTTACACTTTTTTCAAACCTTTGAGACAAAAATAATAATAATAATGTGAGTGTGAGTTACGAAGTCTGAAGAAAATGTTGAACAGTCTCTGCTGGGATGACGACTACACCATAGCTCAGTGGTTAGATTATCGCTAGCTACAAGCGAGGGTCCCTGGTTCGAGTCCTGGTGGTGACAGTCAATTGTTTCTTCAGACTTTTCCCGTTTGTCTCTTTCCCTCAAACTAGTGAAAATAATAATAATTTTAGAATTGCGATCAACAGAACGAGC